CGTAGCTGGTCATGGAAGACGATACTCAATCATTCACCAAACACTTTTGGAGCCACCTGGTAGAAACCAGCAGTCAGTCCATCCATCCCTGGTGCTGAAGTCGCATTCATGTGTTTGATCGCACTCGCGAGGTCAGATGGTGTCACGGGGGCATTTAGTATGTCCCTATCCAAATCTGATGCTACTTTAACGATAGAGCCCAGAAGTTTGCGCTGCTTGGCCTCATCAGGTGGAGGTGCTCCACCTGTTGGACTGGCGCGATCTCCCATCTCTGATCCCCAGTGCTCCAAGAAGCGGAGCGATATTTCTTGAGGTTTTGATGACGCGCTGCCACTCGGTGTGATCACCTCCTCAATCGATACCTTTCCTAAGCTTGTGTTAAGTGGACGAAAGAAGTGTTTGGTGGATTTCTCGGAATGCTTGGAAGTCGAACGCAGTATCTTGATTGTACTGGCTCGCCCTCGTGACCGCCTGTTTGTAATTCCTCATGACGTCATCATAAATCTCGCGATCACTTTCGTTCGACGACATGCGGTACCGCTCAGCAGCTTGATCCAGCGAGACACGGGCAATATCGACAGCTTGTGTATCTTGCATCCGAGGCTTCTTTTGCAAATTTTGCAGTTGGCGCTTATTATTTTTTTCCACTTCTCCCAATTCTTTCCCGGGTTTTGAGCGGTGCGCAGTTGATCGCGGACCATCTCTGCTTCCTTCTCGATTGCGGATACCACTAATGGGTAATCGAGAAGGCAGCGTGGAAATTTCCAGTACCCTTTGCCGTGCAACTGTGATCTAGGTTTGAGACGTACACTGTGGGCGAGTTGGTCGCCGGCATGCTTTGGCAGGAAATATTTGGAGTCGCCATAGAAGCGTTCGTAAATCGCCTCTGACAGCAGGATATAGTCCAAATGGTTCCTCCTTGGAGAAGGCCCCCTGAAGCCTCGCTTGGTATCGTAGTGGATCCGCCACGCATCGACTACACTCAGTTTTGCCAGCCACTCCAAGCAGCTTGAGCGACCGGGGTCATAGCAAAAGTTAGGAGACGATGAATCTAGTTTGGGGTTCAAGGGAGTGCTGAGATCACCCAACACCAGATGTATTGCCTGAGTTTCAAACTCCTCAGTCTCTAGTCTCGAAAAGAAATGTTGTTTTTCTTACTTGTCTACTGGCGCATACACGTTATGAATGTAGATGGGAGTACCTTCTGCTACCATGTATCGACCAAGAACGGACAACTTGGAGACCTCTTCCGCCGTGGCGAAGCCAGGAAAATCGGAACGAAGCAACGTGAGA